CAGAGAGGTGGTGGATGCCCCATCCCTGGAAACATTGAAGATCAGGCTGGACGGGGCTCTGAGCGACCTGATCTAGTTGAAGATGTCCCTGCCCACGGCAGGGGGGTTGGACTAGATGACCTTTAGAGGTCCCTTCCAACCCAAACTATTCTATGATTCTATGAAATACTTACCGTACAAAATCTCTCAGAGGCTGGTTCTCACATACATAAAGAATCTCCTCTTTTTTGCACTTCAGCATAGTTGTTATTTTCTCTATGATGTTCAGGGCCACTACAGTTTTTCCTGTTCCTGGTAGACCATAAACATACAGCTTCTTAGTTTTGTGAAGATTTTCTGACAGCAGCTGGTATTGTTTGATGGTCAAGAGGTTCAAAAACTCAGAACCAACGCGGTCACTTAAAAAGGACTTGAAAGTCAGCAGAGCTACTGTGAGAGCATGCAAGAGGGCCTTCAAGTTGTTGCTGTTGATTAGGCTGTAGTTTCGGGGATACATTTCATGAATATTCAGATCCCATTCTTCTCCACAGTCAATTTTGGGAGGCAAAGTCAGTAGCTTTGGTATTACACACAATTTGTGAATATAGCCCCCCGTGTTGACTAATTTCTCCTTCAGCCTCCAGGCTATGCGTCTTGAGTATTCAAACAAATCCTTTGAGATAGGATGCTTACAGATTGTATAGAGGATAGGTGGCCTATCCTTGGCTATTAGGAGAACATCACAAATTATGTCTTGGTTTTCTGGCAAGCCGACCTCAACAGCCCAGCTTCTGGAAAATATCAGAACTCCCTCAGAAAGCTGCTTCGATTGATTTTTCATCAGAATATCCAACCCTGGATGCTCCTGGAGGAGATCTTTGCAGAGTTTTTCTGGAGTATATATTATGCTGTGGGATCTCACTAACAAGGCAAAGGAGAAGAAACGGTTAGTGTTAGTATAAGACATGCAAATCCAGCCCTCTGAAATGATTCTGTGGGAATTAATATTGGTGAAAGGCTACAAATACAGACCATAGCTGCCTGAAATACCTTTCTTGCTTCTTCAAAATTTTCCTTAACCATTCCATGTGTTTCCAGATTCTTTTGCACCAACCACTTCCTCAGGGAACTCAATCCTCATCTCCCACCCAGGTCTCAGTCCCTTTGCTAAAAATGCCAACACAGGACCAGCTGTTGCCAGTCTTGTTTAGGAGACCTGGCGAGTAAACAAAGAAACAGTAATGGCTCAATACAAAAGCCCCCAGACACCTGGCTGATCTTGCAATGCCACAGAAACGTTGGACTGTAACTGGCAGCAGACTCTGCACCCTGGTCCCAGCCCCACTCACTTTATGTATTTACATTGGGCTGATTCCAAGTGACCTTCTCCTCCCGTCTTTCCCATTTTTCCCTGGACTGCGAAAAGATGTTGGCATGGCTGTGCTCGGTCCCCAGAGAAGTTCAGCTAGCTGAGCTCCGGCATGTACACGTCAATAGCTGGCAGAAGATCAGTCCTTGGGGAAGGGGGTCATTAGGCATTTGAATGCAATGGTGCTGTCAGATCTGCAAACTATTTCCATCTCTTCCACCTGTTTAAAGAATGTCTTCAAACTCATCTTCTACCTTGACCATACCCTTGAGATTCATGTTGTAAACCTACCAGACAGTGAAAGCAATGTGCAGACCTACCTGGAAACAGTTGCTCACAAAGATTATCAACATTGTCAACGGCCTGGTGGGAATAAACTGGCTTGGCAAGAGGTGGCCCCTCTGTCAGACTGAGCTCTAGCCTAAAGGTCTCAGAAAACTTTGAAAGATCTGGAAAAAAAGAAATAAAAATGTGTGATACAGCATGAGCATTTGCTGTCCCTCTGAATCTGCTGTCCCCTGAATCCCAGTGCAAGAGCCACAAGCTGTCCTCGTGCTGGTTTTAAATCTTTTGCTCTTCTTTAAAATGACAAATGCAATGCATAGACAGAAATCTTGCAACTCACGTGGACAGCAACTGCTTAGCAACAGAACCGGCTCAGGTCACGGACCATGGAGCTGCTCTTGGTTTCCTTATCTCATCAGCTGCTGTTGTGACCTCTGTTAGTGATAACCCTTTCACTGCCCAAGAATTAGCCAATGAACAACTTATCTGTCCATAGCTCTCAGCTTATTAGACTGGCAGCAGCAGTGGAGAATGCCCCTAAAAAGCAGGAGGGAAAGTATAGATTAAGCCTGAAAGCAAATGGCAATTTGCAAATGGCAACTGCCATGGACTATGGCAATTACGTCAAAGAACATGTGCGCTGGGGTCTAATCTCAAACGCGGTCAACTTGAGGCATGGAGAGCTCATGCTGCAAAAGCAGGCACTAACATTGGCATTAATAAGCTGCTAGTCACCAGGACCGGCTGCAGCCTGAAGCAAGCATTAAGGAATGTAAGCAGCAGAAAGACAGGTATTTAGCAAGGACCTGAAGCAGTCAGACTGGTTTGGTCAGGCCCCCAAAGACACTGAAAAGCAGGTAAGACTGTCTAAGGCAAACAACACTGCCAGGCCAGGAGCAAGAAAATAAAAAGAAGTATCGAAAATGGAAAGGGGTTGTCCCGGCTCTTTTGGACCTGGATCAGCAGCGGTCATCCACGCAGCCCACTCGTCTGCTCTCAGTCTCCTGATGGTGCTGCCTTCCACTAGCCACGAGTCCGGGTCTTCGGAAAAAGCGACGCAAGTAAATGGCTGAATCTTCACAGCGCAGACGTAGCCACAGTGATCTCCAGCCTCGCGGTATACTTTGAAGATTTTTTGTTCATACCTTATGTTGTGTGTATTTCCACTCCCGCAGAAATGGAAGAGGGTTAATTTGTTTTGAATGGAACTGATTAGGCAGTGTAATTTTTCAAGGTCCTCATCATCACTGCTGAATCCCTGCACTCTGCTGTCATCATCCACACCGATCCATAAATACCCGCCGCCTGTGTTTGCAAATCCAGCGATATACTGAGGTAATATCTCTTTGACACGAGTCAAAATTTTTTCAGTTCCATAGTGCTTAAATTCCACAAGTCCTGACTCTGTGAAAGTTAGTGTCTCTCCATGTCGCAGTTGGTCCCTATTAAACAACTCATCAACAGTGTTATTTATAATATTCATGTCTCCTTCAATAGCCCATGTCTTCCTGATTTTAGCAGGTGGTCCTGGGCTAAGCTCCCCCCTGGCGTCATTTTGCTTTTCTTTAAGGAACAAAAAAGCTCCGGTAGGCTTCACGTGGGAAAGAGAATCACCAGATTTTGCATACAACCCAGTACTCAGGCTACAGATACGTGGCTTTGCACTTGTAGAGGTTAAGGATGTGTTTTCACTGCTCCAGGTTTTAATAAAAATCAAAAGGTAATTACCTCGCTGTTCAACGTCCAGGTATTTTCTCCAGTCTGGAAACAAAAGAAGAGACCGAAAAGTCTCTTCTAAATCTGGTCCGATCTTATCTCTTTCTAAGTTGTAGTTTTCATTTTCAATCTCTGCTTTTACTACACCTCCTCCAGAGTTCAGCAAGGCACACACTGCACAGGCAAGGGTGTATTTTTGATCTTGTTTTGAATTTTTTGGCATCTTTTTTCTTGCCTTTTCACCAAAACATATTTTTCCAACACACAAAACTACTTCAGGATACTCTGTTTCTAAATTAACCCAGACCTTCTGCTGTTGTTGACCGTTTTCAAGAGCCATTCTGGGCCTGAAATAATTGTAAAAAAATTGCTTACCATTTATGCTGAAACATCAATCTTCCAAAGACTTCCAAAAACATTAGCTAAACAGTGGCCATCCTTTGAACAATAAATACACCGAGTCACAGAGTTGAGAGCAACAGGAATTTTCCTCCACTTCCAAAATAGAGTGCTTGCTTAAAAACCAAATTTGTCCCCAGTGCCCAGGTGTTTAGTTTTCTGTCCTTGAGCATGAGGGGATGTAGGGACCTTGCTGCCATCTGTCCCTCTGAACACAGAAGCAGCCTCAAATAGTTTACAGCCAGGCTCGTTACTCACTTCAACACCATCCCCTTACATATTCCTGGACTGCATGCCCCCTCCTCCTCCCCTGTAATGACTGAGAAAAGGCTGTGCTTTGATCTTAAGAATCCAGTAATCTTACCAATTAATAATCAATAAATAATAACAACTGACCCTTCTACTTTCAGCTCTATTTGGCCACCCTTGCTGGTAAGGCGGCTGAATCTTGGCTGATTGCCACTTGGCACTCGGAATGCAGGCAAATTTGTTGAAATGGTGGCAAACTGCATCTGCATCGGATTTAAGCCAATTCCTTAAAATGAAATCCAGCCCCCTTGCTACGAAACACATCTGTGGTACAAAAGCACCTGGAAATAAATGAAAACGTGCCTAGAAGAGATCTCGCCTGTGACAGGAGCGCAGCTGGTTTCCAGTAGCACAGATTTGCCTTCCGCATGGCCAAATACTAAGCCAGAGAGCTGCGGGGCACAAAAACTCCAACACGCACCTCCACCATATCTGGTACAGGAGACAAGTTTCCTGCCTTGCCTGCCTTTCCTGTGAGTTAGCTCTGCTGAGGAACGTCGCTCTGCTCCTCGTAGCTTGGACTTACGGTACAACTAAAGCAGCAAGGACGTTAGTGTGGGCTAATTTTTGCTACCAGGTAGAGGGATTTTCCCATCCAGTTCCACAAGCCCCCCTCTAGCTTGCTGCAACAGGAGAGCCTGGCTGACTGCTGAGATCTCAGACTCCCCCCGTGTGACGGAGAAAATGACTTACCCCACCTCGTCTTCTTTGCTCTGGGCTAAAACGTCAATATTTGAAATATCAATTTTAAATCCTTAAATATTTAAGTCCCAGAATGATGCGCAGCAGAAATGGGGTACAAAGCATCCGGAGCGTGTTACTTGTTTTCTCCTCTGCCCCTCCCTCTATTAAAATCTCTTAGAAACAAAACATAGCTTGTTGCTGGTTTCACTTCTTGTTGCTGGTTTCACCTATCTGGCGGTTTTGTTTTCTTCTCCTCTGTGTTTCCTGTGATGAAGCACGAGTTTTCTGGATCTTTCTAGCTCTATCTGAAGTTTAAAACTAGTTTTTGCTGGGAGCCCAGACCTCCGGAGCTGTTACTTCCCTCCCCCTGGCACTTTTCCAGCAGCCAAAGTCTACCAGAGAAAAGAGACAATTAAAAAAATAGTTTAGAAGAAATCCCCAACTTACAGCATTTACATACGTCATCACTTGTTGAGTCTGAAAAGTTGGTGTTCCATTAAACTTTTAGTCAGAGAGATAGTTCTGGAAGCTGGGAAGCAGGATACCAAGCTAGAAAGTCCTGTGCAGAAGATAGATACAGTCTGCATGTCTTCATTTGCAACATTTGCAATATGAGATTCAATTTTCTTACCTTTTTGTACCGACAAAGCACACAAAAGGTAATAATTTTATACTGAAATCATGCCCATATACAACTTTCACCTGAAATAATTAAAGTTATGGGTTAAAACTCTCATAACTTTTCCCCATGGAAGTGATCCATGCAGGGGGCCACTTTGGAGCATCCTCAGTGTCGCCTCCCTCCTTGGGTCCGGCAAAAGCACCGAGACTGGGGCAATAGTGAGAAGACTGAGAACAGGGAAGGTTGTGGGCTTGACTGCAAAGCCTTGAGAAGCCTCGTGCAGCAGTGGTTGAGCGTGCCCTGGGTATCAGCTCAACGAAGTCGTGTATTTTTTTGAGGGGAGATGAGAGAAAATGAAATAGTGGGGAAAAAGAGCAAGCTAGCACTAGATTGTGGAAACTTGCTTGCAGAACAGGAAGGAAATCGAAACATTCTGTTTGTGGGCAGGATGACAGCTTCATGCACAAAGTAAAAATGCTTTTTAGCTTTTGATTCTATACTGTGTATAAGAGTCTCCCGCTCAACCCCCTTGGCAGGAGCCGGTGTAATACCCCCCTTCCTTGCTTTGCCCCTTGTCCTCTCCTTTCTCTTCATCCCCCTCCAGACTCCATTCTGGTGTCCCGGGCTTCTCTTTACTCATTACAAAGCACAGTTTTTCCCAGTTGAATTTTTCATGGTGCCCACCGCCGGTTACTGAAGACTTCCTTACCTTCCTCGCAGATTCCTCCTCCGTGGGCTGCGCAGAGTCAGAATGAAACCCACAAGGTGAACGGGTGGGTTAAAAAAGCTTTTATTCCTTGAACTCCAAGTCTCCTTACGTAGTTACTACGTCACGGGGCTGTCTTTGTCCCTCAGACTGGATCCTCTTGATCCTGCACAAAAGAGCGCCCGGCAGGGTCAGAAACCCCCTCCCCAGGAAAACCACATGAAATACATCTCCCGAACAGGCGTGCGTGTTACGCAGCAATTTCTTGCAAACTGCTGCCCACCAGGAGGAACCGAGTTTCTGCTTTAAAACAACAGGATGAATTTACCCATCTGGCCCTAAACAAGCAAGCGTTTTATTTCAACTTCTATATTAAATCATGATACTTTTCCTTCCAAAGCACCTTCTGTTCAACTGCTGGAACATCTTTATTTCTCCCACATATTTTTTTTTAATTTCTTCCCTCTTTTTTTTTTTCCTCTTCGTTGTTTTCACGGCGATACCGCGCTCGTCACGCTGCCCCTTGTCGTGGAGCCGTTGCTACACAACGTGCAGCCGGGAGCGCCCGGCCCTCAGGACTGGACGGCGTTTGAGGCAGCGACTTGTCACCGCCTTCTGCCTCGGCTCGGCAAAGTCGCGTCG